TCCTTTGTTATATGGTTAGTTTGCGGAAAGCGCTTATATTTAATATAAGTGTAATTAAGTAAGAGTAAGTACGAATTGTTAGTTTAGTAATATTAGAAATAAAGGAAAGGAAATAATACACTTCCAAGTGCATATATGTAAATGAATTCGCAATTGTCATATCTTACTAGGTGAAGGACACATAAGAGCGTTTGGAGGGCTAAATTTGTTGTTAGTTTGGTGTGGGTGTTGCGCTAGTGCAACAGAGGGGACGCGGGGTATGGACGCATGACAATGACACCGAGGGGACATTGACTGACCGCTAATTGACATACTGACTGTCAGGTTTAGGGGGCGCTGCTAAAGAAGAGGAGTCGCAGCGGCGCCCTAGGCTTCGTGGAGTTCACGTAGAAGGGGTGGGACGACTCCACCTGACCGGACTGGCTCTCTTTCGTTTATCATATTTCTTTGAAATTTTCCTCGTTTCTTTCACACTCTTTCTCCTTTTTTTGATTTCGTTTGTTTGTAATAAAAAAGGCATGACTCAAATTTTGTTCATGTTGCTAGAAGGCAAGGCAGGTAGCAAGGACCTCCCCCGACCGTCGGGCAAGTTTGGGCCTGCAAGCATGCCTGCATGCCGCCTCGTCTTGCCCAACCATGTAGTGACATAACACGTTGACTGAAAACCAAATGTTAGACCTTCTGAAAGAGTTTTCAGATCTCGACGATGAATCGGGAGGTGATGAGATCGATTCAGTGGAATTTACTAGTAAGAAGCGAATTGAAGATGAGGAGGCTCAAAATTACGACACCAGCACTGAGGAAAATGTGGAGGAACGTGATTTGAGTCCAATAAATGAACTTCCACCAGCTGTTCGTGCACACGTTACGACTTTTTCCCTCCCTCAACAAAGAGCGAAGAAAATGTTGCACAAAATTCATATTTCTCCGTCAGAGTATTGCGTTCAATAGCAGGTGAGAGAGTAAGTACACCAATAGAAGCAGCAGAAGGAAACTATGATTTGGCAAATATTACTGAGAAAATCGATGTTCAGTGGCGCCATTCCCGCAGTAATAATCGAATTGCTAATTTTTTGTT